TTTTCTGAGTAAACCCATATTTTAAAAGGGATAGTTCTGCTTCACCAAAGTCAAACATTAACACAAATAAACTACCGTAATTTTCGGACTATAAGCCGCGCCTTTTTTCCCATTTTTCGACGCTGCGGCTTATATAACGCTGCGGCTAATCTATGGATTTTTACAGCTAACGGCCACTAGAGGACCTCCTAAATCTATGGATGTTACAGGTTACATTCCAACACCTTTAACTCTATGGGCTCTATGGCCGGTCCGCGCCCCCCACCTTTAAGCGGCGGGCTCCAGCAGGAAAAGCTGGAGGCCGGAAAAGAGTGAGACAGGTAGCGCGCAAAAGTAAAAGTGGAACCGAGAGTGGTACGAGAGACAGAACGAGAGCAAGACAGACAGACATTACGAGAGCGAGACAGTTTGTCCCCGTACCACTGGTTGGAAACCACTGCTGTAGATCACTGCCGGTACGTGCGCTGGGAGCGCACCGTTTAAGTTTGAAAGTTGAAAAGTTTGTGTGTCTGAAACGCTATGTGATACAGTACAGTTTACACAGCACATGTTCTGTAGCTACTATTGCACTAAATGCTAACACTTGAATACGTTATGCAAATATGCAACTTGTTTGTTGAAATGTTAATAAATGGGAGCTTCCTCAAACAGCCATCTCTTTCCCGACAATCCCCTCTGTGCACGAACCCATATGGTAATTAAACATTAAAACACCTGCGGTTTATAGTCCAGTGCGGCTTATATATGTACACATCATTCAATTTAGCTGCTGCGGCTTATATTCAGGTGCGCCTTATAGTCCGAAAATTACGGTAATCGCCTTTATACATTTTGTCCAATAAGTAAACAACCCTCAGCACTTCTAAGTTGAACATTTCTCAAAGGAACAATGGGATATTAAAAAGGGTGATGATGCCTGGTGTAGGTTAGGCTGTAGTTAGGGTCAAAAAGCGAGGTTTGCTGCTTGGATTTAAATGTCTCAACTTCTTTTACAAGTCATGGCGGTTATTCCAGAGATAAGGAGCACGGTAGGCAAATACTCTGAAGATTGTACTGGTACTCTTTTTACAGGATTATAGTCGAAGCATTCTGACCAAGCTGAAGAATGAACAAGAAGAACTGGCATTACAATAATCTAATCTAGAGGATTTACAGTATATGTAAAAGAAGGTTAATATTTCAATTGCCACTTTATTACTCCCGATTTAACTGCCAGTAATGTTCAGGTTGTACTGTTCAACATACATTTAAAGCATAAGTGGAATTATCCAATGAGCTTTAGAGTAGAGGGGTCTCAATTGAGTGGGATTGGGTTCACTTTTTTAGGGAATAGGGTTTTTTAAGTACCATAAACACCTGGTTGATATTTATGTATGAAGTGTATACCAACTTTTTCTACTGACAAAACACTGATCTAGTCTCATATATCGCAATATCGATATAAAATCCAAATATTTCCCTGCTCTATGTAAATGATGGTCCAGATATAAAATGGTATAACTAGTATTTAATTCAAAAAGTATTGAACCAATCATGTTTGAAGTGCTGTTTTGCATTGAAATTGCCCTTTTTCCTTCCTCCAAGTTCAACAAAAACAGTCAGAGATCCCCTTGTGTTTCACTTTGTATTATTTGCTTTTGAGAAAGGAATAATTTCTTCCTTTTGCTTCTCAAAATGGGGGAAAACGAGATCCCAGCCAAACAACCAAACCCTGATTTACCTGCCAGAACCATCTGTGTTTGCATCTGCAGGCGGATCTTCACCAGGTCCACTGGAGCTCCTAGCCCCACGGACACCAGCCCGGTCAGCATGCTGGCCAGCGTCAGGTCCATCATGCCGCAGGGTTGCCGTCCGTCTCCATAGCGATACTTGCTAATAAGTCTCTGTATGTTACTGAAGAAGCCAAACACCGCCGAGTTGTAGACGGTGATGCTGGCCAGAGGGAACGACATGCCCTTAAAGAAGCCCACCACCTGAGAGACAGACAAAGAGAGGGGGGGAGTTACTGGAAGGGCTTCATCAATCAATCTGTGCTATATAAAGGGGACAATAGAGGTATAGCATGAACCCAAAACACTTTAGTTAAAAAGGGAACACACAAGAACCAAGAATACGGAAAGCGCATACAACATAAGCAACCAAAAAGAAGAGGGGGAAGAAGTACACGTGTGTGTTGAAGTGTAATAGTATGACTGTATATGTATCATTAATATGTGAACATTTGAAATGTGTGTTAATGCTGTTTGTATATCATATTATTGTGTAATTATGTTGTATTTTGATGCTTTGGCAACATTGTTTATTTTAACTTTCATGCCAATAAAGCCTCTTTGAATTGAAAGGACTATGTTTCTTAAAGAGGCCCTATTCTGCTTATTGGGGTTTTCCCTCTCCTGTTGTGTGTTCTATATGTTTTAGTGCATGTAAATGGTCTGCAAAGGCTAAAAGCTCTGTGTTCCCTCCACCCCCCTGCCTGAAACGCCTCCATTGGACTCCTTTGTTTACTTCCTGAACATAATGACATCACTATGTAACACTCGCACTCCTATTGGCAAGTGCTCCAACACATTGTACGTGATAAACTAAGGGGGCGGGACATCTCTAAGCGGTTGACCAATCACAACAGAGCCGGCCAGCTAACCAATCAGAGCAGACTGGGCTCTGGTTTCAGACAGAGGGTGAAAAGAGGTGCTGCACCACAGGCAGTATGAGAAAGATACAGAGCTTTTTGAACATTAAAGCACGGAGACAGCACGTAAACAAAATACAACTGTGAAGCTGAAAGTTAGCATAATAGGGCCGTTTAGCAAAAGTACTAATATCGAATTGTTAAAATATACTTTTACAACTAAATGTCCTGCATTTAAAATCTTACTTGGGTAAAGTACACAAATATCAGCATGAACATTCTAAAGTAGTCATTGTTCATAATGACACATTTTGGAATCATATTAAATTATAAAGTTTGAAATGTGTGTTTTAAAGATTTTCTACCGGAGCTTTATGAAACTGAGGCAGGAAGATGCAACAAATACTGAGGTGGAAATGTCTGTCTTGAAAATAGCCTTGATATGAAACTGGAATGTAACAAAATAAAAATATGTCCCAAAGTGATCCAAAAAACCCAAAGTAGGAATTTTTGTAAACTCTAAGGTATACTTAGGTTGTTTCGGGCCAGCTGTGAGCAGAAAGAGAAACTGGAGAAGTTTGGGCCAAATACTTTCTCTTTGTGGAAAGTGTTCCCTCTCAGCAGGAGAGAGGCTTCAGTACAAAACAGCTGTCCGGATACATCATGTGACCTGAGGTTCATGCAGCGCTGTCACACTTTAAATGAATCACGACAAGTCTGTGGAAAACACAACAAACTGATAAGCTTACATCAAACAGATGTAGTGGAAACTTTTATTGAATTCTCACAAAGCCCTGTTACTAATTTAACATGAATAACTCCTTCTATTTCACTAGAAATATGTCGCGATAATAAATAACAAAACACAAATGATAAGGTTTGGTGATCTACTGTCCTTATTTATCGTTTCAAAATCCAATATCCTTTACTACAATGTTCAAAAATATTCAATAACAAGTAAAAGTTAAAAAGTTTGGCCCAAGTTGTGTGTGTACAAATCTGAATCTATAAAGTACAAACATGTAGAGAAGTAAAAGGTACAATATTTCCCTTTGAATTATGAGTAGAAGTATAATGTGGTGCAGAAACAAAATACTCATACTCATACTCATTTGTAGTTAAGGACAGTACTTAAATACATGCACCTTCCACCTCTGGTTAATGCCACAATGAAATTAACCTTACAAAGTCCTGCTGAGAAACTGGGTCATTGAGGCATCTAAACAAAAACAACAAATTGATTTGAGCCAACAATAGAGAGAGATCATTAGCCATACCCAGTTCCCAAAGAGGATCAATGTGTTGTTTTTACTGCAGAAAGTAGAACAACCGATGTAACTGTGGAAAACAAAATGCATTTTCTGTGCAGTGTTGCTTTTCCAATAAAAGCAGCTCTTGCTCTAATATGTCAGCAAATGTCCCAACATTAGCCACCTTTAGCTTAGCGGTGGTGACGTGAAGTCATGTGACCGTGCTGTAGTTCTTTTATAGCCCAACATTAGCCACCTTTAGCTTAGCGGTGGTGACGTGAAGTCATGTGACCGTGCTGTAGTTCTTTTATAGCCCAACATTAGCCACATTTAGCTTAGCGGTGGTGACGTGAAGTCATGTGACCGTGCTGTAGTTCTTTATAGCCCAACATTAGCCTCCTTTAGCTTAGCGGTGGTGACGTGAAGTCATGTGACCGTGCTGTAGTTCCTTTATAGCCCAACATTAGCCACCTTTAGCTTAGCGGTGGTGACGTGAAGTCATGTGACCGTGCTGTAGTTCTTTATAGCCCAACATTAGCCTCCTTTAGCTTAGCGGTGGTGACGTGAAGTCAGGTGACCGTGCTGTAGTTCCATAGAGCCCAATATTAGCCGCCTTTAGATTAGCGGTGGTGACGTGAAGTCAGGTGACCGTGCTGTAGTTCCATAGCACAACGTTAGCTTTTTACTTCAGAAATCATAACGTGGTGATAATATGCAACCCAGTCTCACGGCATTCCGTGTTATAGTCACGACATTTAATCTATTGATTCGTGTTCACCAACACGATTTTCCCCTTTTTTTTCGTGTCACACAGAACGATTTTAAAAGCAATGTATTTCTATTGGTAGTATGTTTCGTGCCTGCAGCACGTCTTTTTGTCCGTTCGGGTCTTGGAACACCGGAAGCTGT